TGGTCTGAATTCTTGCTCTCATCTAGCTGGCCAATCAGCGGATTAGTTGATCAATAGATGAACTTACGAAAGCTAGGGTGATTGACAGATGCAAATTGAGGACTGGCGATAGCCCGGTGGTACATGAGAGTGTAGTGGCGCGTCCTCACCGGGGCTGGCTCAACTCCCTGTGGACGTGGAATTTGGCCACATCAGAAAAATCGGATTCAAGTTAGATCACCGTAGCTGCTATGATCCTAGCTACCTTGTTCGTCTTGCGAGCTGAAGAGGAAATATTAGACCAACAAAGAAATTTTGGGAAGGTGACTGCAGGGAAATTGGTATACTTTTGACTTCCTTTGCGCACATGTTATTTTGTGGAATGTCACACCCTAATTTCTGCAACATATATGGCCATGGTGAACTAAGTCTCAGGCGCATCTGTCTGTGTAGTTTGGCATGCCACAGCTTGGTTGAACCCCTCTGCATCTCCACTGGGAAGGGAGGGTTTGCGAGAAACCTCAAGGGGCACGAGATTGTCGAGCAGGTCCTTCCTATCTCCCAGCAACCTGCGCTTGTCGTTGCTTTGTAGTGAAACATTATTGTAAACAAGCTGAACTCATGTTCTTTTCTGTTGCGTTGTGGGTTGATGTTCTGGGCATTGCAGGTATTGGCCATAGAGGAGTCGTTCAAACACAGGGTGACAAATGTAGTTTTCATGGGTATGGGTGAGCCCATGCTGAACCTCAAAGCAGTTCTGGAGGCTCACCAATGCTTGAATAAGGTATGTTGAATTGGCAAGTCTCCGAGTCGTGTGTTCCCTTGAGCTCAGTTTATTTTCATGATACATTGGACCATAAATTACTTTGTGTATGCTAAATAAGAAGATGTTTGATATGTGTCCTGTCATTCAACATGAATATACTATTTTCAGGAACTAAAGATTGGGCAAAGGATGATGACAATCTCAACAGTAGGTGTTCCCAACACGATAAGTAAGCTAGCATCCCACAAGCTTCAGTCGACACTGGCAGTCAGGTGCGATGTCAAAATATTCCAAACTTGGGTTCTTAGCATCAACAATAGATAATGCGGCCTTGGTTTATGCTTGCTACTTACCAAACTCACTTAATAGTCTGTATTCCTTGTAAGAAACTGCCCCCTTTTGACATTGTCCAAACCCTGGGCATAGCTGGAAGAAACTGTCTATTATAAGCAGCATTTGCTTCTATAGTTTGTTTTCTGACTATTGTGCTGTATTCGTATCAGCCTGCATGCCCCAAATCAGAGGCTGCGCGAAACAATTGTTCCAAGTGCAAAGGCATATCCTCTGGAAGCACTAATGGATGATTGCAAGAATTATTTCCTCGAAACTGGACGCAGGGTATCCTTCGAGTACACTCTGCTAGGTAATCTAGCTATGTCTTTCACTGAGTGATCCATCTATCTGACGGGGATGATTGTTAAAAACTGCATTATGATTTCAGCC